GAAAATGCCTTGTTTTAATTTATAAAAAAAAAAGCTGTATTATTTATCTTCTGTATCTAAACCCAAAAAGAAAAATGTATTATATTGCAGCTTACCAGTCCTTGGATGCGGTGGCTGCATTTGTTTTTTTTTCCCCAGCACTTCCAGCACCTGCAATCCCAGCAAGATCCCAACAATGTCTATCACATAGCATTACGGAGGATATACTTTGTGAGATGAGGGAGCTGACAGTAGAAGAATGAGTGACTTTTTAGGCTAGAGTTCATGGTGAAACCATATGAGATTTTTTTAGAAAGACTCTGTGGAAAATTGCTTGATATAAATGCAGTCAACTGGCAAGGTCCTTAAAGTGGAAGAAAAGCCTAATACTTAAATTCTTCCCTGCAATCATTAATGTAAGCTAAGTTCAGCCTTATGTCTCAAAATGAACAAATCTGAGTTTTTCTACCTTTATTTTCTAGTATACAGTGCCTGTCACATGACTTCAATCCCTCTCCCTTCTGAGTCCAAGAGCATCCAGTGGGTATGTTTACTGAAGGCTAGAGACATCACTTCCAGGAGTGGCACTGTTCCTGTGTAGCCATTGGGTGTATACAGGATGGGAGGAGCTGATCATAAGTTCCCTGGTCAGTGGTCTCTCAAGAATCAGGATGCTTGTGCATCTTCATTTATGAGAAAATTAACCACATCCTGACCACCCTATAGCAGACATACTGCTACAGGGTGGCAGGGGTGCGCAAAATCACGTGTATATATTTCCGTGTAGGGGGCGTGTGCGAGCCCTACCCGTGCCACCATTCGGGGCGCGCGGCTGTGAGTCACCAGGTCCTGACTGGAGATTACCTGCCAGCACCCGGTTATTACCAAGGATCTCTGATGGGGAGGAGGGCTGCTTTGTTTACTAACAGTCCTCCTCCCTGTCGGCTCGGGCACACTGCTCTGGATGGCTGTGCACAGCACAGCCATCCAGAGCAGTGTGCTTACAGTGAAACACCAACACATCGCCCCCAGTAAAACACTCCCTGCACACAGTTAACCATTTGATCGCCCCTCATGTTAACCCCTTCCTGCCCAGTGCCATTAGTACAGAGTCAGTGCTTTTTTTTATTGGTGTCCCCCCCAGTGTCAGAATGCCCGCCGCAGTCCCGCTATAAGTCGCTGATCGCCACCATTACTAGCAAAAAAAAAAAAATCTAGTATCTATACCTCCATTTGTAAGCTCTATAACTTTCACGTAAACCAATTAATTTACACGTATTTGGATTTGTTTTAGCAAAGACATGTCGCAGAATACATTTTGGCCTAAATTTATGACGAAATTTGAGTTTCTAAAATTTTTTTATACCATCTCAATTTGTGGGAAAAAAGGACGTAAATTTCATTTGGGTGCAGCATTGTATGACCGCACAATTGTCAGTTAAAGTAATGCAGTGCCGTAACGCAAAAAATGGCCTGATCAGGAGGGGGGGAAATCCTCAGGAGGGCAAGTGGTTAAGAAAAATAGAACCATTCACACAGGAGGGCTGGGAGGTCCAGTGCACATATACAGTATAGCTGTGCAGGGCTCCGAATAAAGACTACCACAGGAGACAGGAGCTAGATGCAGGGGAACTGTCCGGGGTCTCAACTCAGAGTCTACAATGAATACTATACCTTAACTCCACAGGATTGCACCTTGTAGTGTGAGTGGAACGCACAACATGCAAGAAGCTCCATAGGATTCCACCTTGTAGTGTGAGTGTATTACAAAGTGTGCAGTAAAATCCCCTGGATTCCACTCTGTTCTGTGTGTATTTGCTGTATAGAGGTGCAGTGTGTTTTACAGCCTTAAGCTGGCCATACACATGTAGATTTTCGGATGAGAATGTTCGTACGAATATTCTTTGAACATTCAGTGAATGGACGAATGTTGTTCGAAAATTGTCTTTTGCTTTTAATGTGCACAGCCATCCAAAGCAGTGTGCCTGAGCTGACAAGAAGAACTGTTAGTAAACAAAACAGTACTCCTCCCCTTCGAAAATCCTCGGCAATCACCGACCTGGGACCTGGTGACTGACAGCCGCTGCCCACTACGTGGAAATACAAATCTCCTATATATATATATATGTGATTTTGCGCACCCGTGCCGTCCTGTAGCAGTATTTCTGCTATAGGGCGGTCGGGAAGAGGTTAAATTGTAAAAGTTAATGATCTATATCAAGAAATACTAGATGATAAATTGGACACGAGTTTTACCACATCAATCCTAGTTAGGAATCGAGACTTGAGTGAAGTGTTGTTTTTCACTGAAGTTCCTTCTTTATATGAACAAGCTCTTGAATACTGTATGCCAGATATCATCTCACACCTCCAGATTCATGCACATGGCAGATTAGGGACACACACTGGCCAGATCATATTTCTATGGCAAGTATGGCCCTGTTTCTAATCAGCCACAGACAGAAAGTCTGTACAAAATAATGACAGGATGATACTATGTAGTTATTTGCATCTAACCACACATGAAGTGTTTACCTGTGATTAAGTATTATTGTGCACCTTCAAACAAGTACAAGCTATACAAGTGTGACAACTCCTCGTTCAATTCAGTACAGCATTGTTGTCACACCATTTCAGGATCAACAGGTATATTTGGGACATTGCAGGAGACTAAGGCTAGGTTCACATCTGTGCGGGTGGTGCAGCTGCGGATTCACACGAAAATCCGTGGCTGCACCACCCGCACAGAGAAATGAAGTTCTAATGGCACGCCGCCCGCATTGGAAAACGCAACCGTACTGGCTGCGTTTTCAGAAGAAGTGCAGGGACTTCTTCCATGCATGTCACGGGCCACTGGAGTCCATTCAAATGAATGTCAGTCTGGGGGAGGAGAGTGTTAGATGTACTAGCAGATTATGTACACTAAATAAATTGAAGACAAACTCCAGCTTTTAAGCAGGTACAGCACGTTCTGTTCCCTGAGGCTGGATTCACACTGATGCGGTGCGGAATTCACAGCGTTTTCTGTGTGAATTCCGCACTGCATCAGAATCTCACCTCGTTCATTCAAACCGCTGCGGGTGTGTATGTTAACAACGCTCCGAAAGGGGTCCGCAAAACGCGATGTGCAGAATCGGATCGCAAAGGTGTGAATACTCGTGCGATCCAATTCTAGTGCGGACCCAAGAAAGGGTCCTGCACCTTTTTGTATGGCTCCAATCGCACCGCACACAAATCGCATGTGATTTGCACAGGAATGCGGTGTGGTTCCTGTGTGAGTCACATGCGATGTTCCGCACCGCATTAGTGTGAACCTAGCCTTATGATAAAGGTTTTACATAAATAAAAGCTGATAATTGTAAGCAAATGTGACAGTAACACACGGGCGTCATCCATCATGTCACATATTTGCTATGGAAAAACTGATTCAGGTTACATCAGTCAACATCCATCTTCTGTATAGTTCTGTTCCATTTACATCCATTTTTTGTTGTTTTAAATCCTTTTTGTATCCATTGACAACTGTTTTTCATCTGTTTACATCCGTTTTTCATCTACTTCCATTTTTAAATGGAACAGAAATGTAGACCTGTCCAGTTTTAAAAAGTAGACCTGAACAAAGGCAGATGAAAAACTGGTGTAAACAGACAACATCCATGTACATACATTTGCCCATAGGAATGCATTGATGTCCGATTTTCATCCATCTGTTGATGGACAGACAGAATGCCTGTATGAAAGGTGCCATTTGTGGGCCAAGAATGTAACTGTTTTTGGAAACTGTTAAATCAGTGGGTTTAGTTCTGTTTGAAGTCTTTCAGTTTGTTCTCTTTGTAAATCTGCCACATTCAGAGAGGAAAACCCTGTCCTCCACCAGTATGCAGCAGAAAGAAAAGACGGTGTCTGCTATCTTCTAGATGCTATCTGCTTTCGCTAAACGTACTGTATATGTAAAACAACTAAAGCATAAGTGAAATGAGCAGAGGCAAGAATGAATATACAGTAGAATAATTTATTTACAAGAAAGACAGCAATACGTTTGCAACAAACGTATGTAGATAAGGAGTGTGAAGAACAGGAGAGTTCTTGAAACTTCATGTCCTTGGTAGTTCATATGCATATGTTCAAGTCTGCCTTGAAGCGTTGGTATCTTTCTGTCATTTAACTTGATCTCAGTAAATACAGTTATCATATACAAGAAATTGCAAAAAAAACAGCAATACTTTCATGTCATAATCAGCATCATTCTATCCAGAAAAATAAGTGAATGCTAATAGTTCTGCACAGTTGACAAGTACCATGCACAATATTTTCAATACTATTTGTATATGCCGAAGAGAGCTGTAAAAAAAATGGAATATATTATATTTTGAACAGATGTGATACAAAATTCTGTTTAAAGTTGATGGTTCACATTAATGTCACAGATTTCTGCAGCTATAAACTTGAAAAAGTAAAGGGAAATTGAAGGGCAAGGATTTGTTAGTTGATAAAAAGGTAAGGAACAGGTACCTCAAAGCTAAAAGCTTTTAAAGGCTGAAAAAGCTAACAGGCATGCTTTAGAAGAAACTCGGTATGCAGAAATTCAGCTACTGTAAATTGTGCTGAATTAACTGGGGTTAAGAAGAACGAGGTGCATATCACCATGTGAACTTATATTTTTATTTTGCAGTTTACATTTATTCTGATATGTAAGCGGCTTGCTCTGGGGGCACTCGTGCGTGCTCGCTCCCGAGCTGCCTCTGTGCGTCTATAAAACACACAGAGCAAGGCTCAGCCTCACCCCCTCAGTGGCTGTAATTGAAAGCACTCAGCAGGGGGGAGGGGGTGGAGCGCTGGTGGGGTACCCTTGCAGAGGAGGATCGGAGCTGCTGTATGAAAAACCACTACACAGAGAAGGTAAGTATGACATGTTTATTTATTTATTTTTTTATGGCTCCCACTGCTGTGTCTCAGCCAATGAAGAGGCACAGTGCTGGATTGGAAACGGGCGCAGGTAAGTAATGGGGGGGGGGGGTCACAGGCAATAGGGGATCATGGGGCCCCTGTATCCTTGCCCAAACTCAAAAAAGCCTATGAAAAAGGTACCAGGGGCATCTCATGGGGCCCCCTACTGACCCCAGGCCCTCAGGCAGTGCCCGAGTTTCCAAATGGTCAGTCCGCCCCTGTTTTAGAAGCACTTTAATTTTTGTCCAGCTTCCAGATTTTGTCTAAAACAAAGCAAAGTATAGCAGAAAAGGTGTGACACTACCAGCCATAAGCTGTAAATCCATGATCACTTTTGGCCACACCCCACATTTGACCACATCACTATGCATCCGGTTGGCAACTCACTTTGTGAGTCCCATTTTTTCCACAGCTTCCAATATTTTTATATCGAAAAGTGAGATGACTACTCACTTTGTGGGTCCCATTTTTTCCACAGCTTCCAATATTTTTATATCTGAAAGGGAGACGCCACAACATCAAGCCAACACTGGAAAGAAGAAGTCAATTTACTATTAAAAAAGAAAATAATTCAGGAGGAGGTTCAGTTTCTGCTTTCTCCTTCCCTAGCTCCTCCCTCTGGCCACTGAGAATGTGTGTGGCTAGAGAGAAATGGAGATCCCTGGATAGAGGTCTGCAGTAAACTTTTGGAAAGAAGTGGGCAGACTGGGCTCTAATTATTGTCACTGATGGGAATTGTTACAATACCACATTTTTTGTCCACCTAATGGTAATATATCCCATTTGTTTCCCACATATTTGAACATTTCTGTCTCAAATGTCACTTTATATATTCAAAGTGTCTATGCTTAAAAAAGGCAAATAATGTAACAGCACCATATCCCTTGAAAATTCAAGTATAAGATCAATCTTAGATTGTAAGCTCCAAGGAGCAGGGTCCTCCTAACCCTCTTGTATTGAACTGTATTGTTGCTGTATTGTCTCCTGTTATATTGTAAAGCACTGAGCAAACTGTTGGCACTATATAAACCCTGTATAATAATAATAATAATATTGAGTAGGGATGGGATTTTTAAGGTGCTTTACCCATTAACCAAAAAAAAAAAGCAGTTGAAATACAATGATGTTTAATACAAACCCATATTAACCACTTAAAGACCACCCAGCAAAATGTACTGCGGATGGGTGGCATGCACAGGCAAAGTGACGTACTGATACGTTACTCTGGCTGTACAGACACAGAAGGCCGCCGCGCACCCCCCTCACGACTGTTGTGTCCTCTAATCAGGACCCGGGGGTCATGTAATTGCTATGCAATCACATGATTACAATGCTAGCAAAGCTGTTATGAATCTGAGTCTGATTCATAACAGCTTTGCTTCCCTTCCTAGTGAGCTGTGATTGGTCAGTATTTTAAACTGTCATGAACTTAACCCATTCATGACAGTACAAAGCAAGCATTGCATTGCAGGAGTAATAATCTTTATTGCTACTGCAAAGCAAAGTGTAAAAAAAAAATCCCTCATCACCCTCACCCAGAGTAGTACAATGTTACTATGGTAACATTGAACTATTTTGATGAAAGTATTTTTTCTTAAATAAAAAATAATGTTCATTTTTTTTTTTTAAATTGAGAAAATAAAAAAAAAAAAATGTTAAGGCTTGCTGACCACCTGCCTGCAGTGTGTGGACAAGTGGCGGCTCTGAGCAAAGCAACGTATCCTTACATTGCTTTTTATTTCTGGGTGTGAGCACGCATTTGTGCACCCCCGCTGCCCACCCTGTCGGTCCAGGGAGAGAAGAAAGAACACCACACTGTGAGTAAAAGCACTACATTTTACACGCACACACACACACATTTGATTAGCACATTTTTTTTTTTTTTATAATTTAAATATTCATTCATTTTTCAATTAAAACAATACACATTTCCATAATTTGAAAAAATAACATTACAATTTCTCTTAAAACACTAATTTCGTATCATTTTCATTTTTCTCCCCATAACTCCCTTAACCCATAACCCTCCCACCCCATTACTATATACCCCTGACATCTGTCAGATCGACTTGTATCTCATATCCTCTGGATACCGAGGTTTGAAAAAGAAAAAGTAAGAAAGAAAGGCCAATTACTATATTTTCTCCTTTTCCCTTATCCTTTCCCTTTTCCCTTCCTTTCTTCTTGTCCTCTCTTTCCCTTTTCTTTATGCTTACTTACTCAGTACCTTTCTTTAGCTTTACTTTAAACTCCTCCCATTTCTCCCATTTCATATGATATGTCACCATCCTATCTTCCTGTATATAAAAGAGTTTTTCCAATCTAGCAATCTGGTCCACTCTATTCATCCAATCCTCTCTTCCCTCGGTGCCTCAGCTTTACGCCAAAACTTAGGAATCAGACTTTTTGCTGCATTTAGGTAGCTCAATATACCCAGTTCTTTATATTTATTTCCAGATAATATTGAATTATGGAAAAGACAGATTTCGGGGTCCAATCCTATCTCCATTCCAGTGATAATCGTGATTTTATTTATAACTTTTTCCCAATATATGTGTATTTTTGGACATTCCCACCATATATGATACATCGTGCCCAATCCTCCACATCCTCGCCAACACCTTGGTTGTTTCTCCTCCCTCATCTTGTGCTCTATCACCGGTGTAACATACCACCTTGTCAAGCATTTAAAATTCATTTCCACTTCACGCATACTAATATTTTCGTGTACCATTCTATATATTTTCCTCTGTGTGTGCTCTTCCCACTCCACTCCTAAATCCTTTTCCCATTTTTCTATATACTTTAATTTAAACTTACTATCTAAATCCGTGAGAGCTTTATATGCTTTAGCAGTGCTGTGTTTCCCGTCACCTCGGTCTTCTAAGTATTTCTCAAATTCATTCCACTCTTTCCTAGTTCTAAGGGGCTTCGTCAGTTTCTCCACGAATTGTTTTAATTGATTATATCTCCATATATCTATTCCAGTGAAAATCCTTCCCTCTTCCTTTTTCAAATCCTCCAGTGTTCTTAAGTTTACCCCCTCCATTATATCTCTCAGCTGAGCGTCTTCCTTTATAATCCATCTACCTGAAATTTCCTCTTTACCTGGGGGGAAAAAATCTGAATTTCTTAGTGACATTAATAGTGAATTAAAACCCCATTTCCTCTGTTTGTGTATTTTATCCCACTCCCTTATTACAATCCTCGTGTATACACTCGTGCTCTCTTCTAATTCTCTAAATTGTGGTGGCTCCCATACACTCCTACCCAAATCCTTTCCACTAAGTGTATTTTCAATTGTGACCCAATGTTTACTTTTTGAGTTATGTGTCCAGTCAAAAATTCTTGCTAGGATGACTGCCCTATGATATCTTTTGAAGTCCGGGACTCCCAACCCTCCTTTTTCTTTATTTCTACTTAGCACTTCATATGATATCCTAGGTTTTTTATTTTTCCATATATATTTAGTTACCATTCGCTTAATTGTCCTAAAATACACCTCTGGAAGATTAATGGGTATCATCTGGAATTTATACAGTATCTTAGGGAGAATTACCATTTTTATCAGATTGATACGACCCAACCAGGAAGGATTTCCTCCACCCATTTTCCTCAATTCCTCTCTGATTTTGTTTAACATTGGGATATAATTAGCTTTATAAAGATTCATCTGTGAGGGAGTAAGTTTTACCCCCAGGTACTTTATTTCTCTATTTTTCCATATAAAGGGAAACTCTCTCTGTATATTTTCTTTTTCACTTTTTGGAAGGTTTATATTTAATATCTCTGTTTTGCTCAGGTTAATTGTTAGATTTGACATTTCCCCATATTCCTTCAATGTTTTCATTAGGTTAGGAAGTGTTATCCTCGGGTTTCCAACATAGAATAATAAATCGTCCGCAAATGCGGCTATCTTATGTTCTATCTTTCCAACATTTATTCCCTTTATATCTATATTTTTCCTAATTGTTGATAACAGGGGTTCCAATGATAGGACAAACAACAATGGGGACAGTGGGCATCCCTGTCTAGTTCCATTTGACATTGAAAAGGTCTCTGATCTCTCTCCATTTACCATTACCATCGCGGATGGTCCTTCATACAACTTTCCAATCCACTTTCTCATCCTACTACCCAATCCCAGGACCTCCAGTGTATCCATCATAAAATTCCAATTAACCCTATCGAACGCCTTCTCCGCATCTATCGAGAGCAGCACTACTGGATTTTTTTCCATTTTACTTTTCTGTATAAGCATCAGGGACCTCAACCCATTATCTCGACCCTCTCTTCCTCTGACAAAACCCACCTGATCTCCATGGATCCAATCTGGCATCAGGTCTCTTAATCTATTCGCCAATACTTTTGCATACAACTTCGTGTCTACATTTAATAGCGATATCGGTCTATAACTGGAACAATGGGTGATATCTTTACCTTCCTTATGTATTAAAACCACCTGTGCCAGAAGGGATTCCTTTCTTATCTCCATCTCTCCTCCTAACGCCTCCATATATCTCTTTAATTTAGGTAACAGTAAATCACTATATTTTTTATAATACCTCACAGTATATCCATCTGGGCCTGGGCTTTTTCCCGTCTTAAAACTTTTTAATGCTATTTTTAGTTCTTCCTGTGTGATTTCAGCTTCTAAGGAGTTTAATAGTTCTTCACTTAGTTTTGGTAATCCTGCATTTCTTAAATAATCCCTTCTTTTTTCAATATTTATCATTTTATCTTTATTTATAACATCCTTAGGGGCAATATTATATAATTTACTGTAGTAATCTTTAAATACCTTTGCAATACCTTTAGTTGAATGGACTAACTCTCCCTTGGAGTTTTTTTTTATTTTATCTATATAGTTCCTATTCTTTTTTCTCCTCAAGGCTCTCATCAGATATTTTCCTGGTCTATCTCCCCATCTATATCTTTCACCAGTGATCTTATTAAAAGTTCTCATTTTTTCTTCCTCCATTACTTTCTCTAGTTCTTCCCTCTTTTTTATCACTCTTTGCTCTATCTCTTTCCTTATGTTATTTTTATGTAGGAGTTCCATCTCAGCTATTTCCTTCAAAAGCCCACTGATCTTCTCTCATCTTTCCCTTTTTTTCTTTGCCCCAATCGCAATAAGGATTCCTCTTACATATGCTTTATGTGCCTCCCACACTGTCGCTAGTGATACATCCTCAGTTTCATTTTCCTCAAAGAACCTCTCTATCTCCTCCCTGATCTTCCGGTCAGTATCTGGATCCGTGAGGAGTGTCTCATTCAACTTCCATGATAGGCCACCTGACATTTTCCCTCCCCAT